TATCGGATTCAGTACCACATACGAAAGTGACCCAGATTGGATTTGAAAATATTGGATTTGTGCCGTTCACACTGTCATAGCATGATCGGATATGGACCGCATAGGGTCAAAAAAAGTCGGATTTGATGCGCTTTCGCCTGCAGTGTGAATGTAGCCTAAGTAGCATGCCCAAGGTACTAAACCGAAGGATACTGGACATGCAGAGTAGAGCAACCTTCCAATTAGCAGATGACCTCCATTACCTCCTGAGCTACAGCCACGCCACAGTGTGCATCAGCCTTTATACATGTTGTCTTCCATGTCCTCTTTTAAAGCTCGCCTTTTCTTGAAAACTCTGCCTCTAGCGTCCTGTATTTTGGGTCTTCAAACTCTAGTTGAACTGCTGTTTGCGACACGCGTTACCTAAACTAAATCCACTTTCATGAATCTCCACCAAAACAGCCCTGCACGTATGTCAATAATCTGCCACATGGATGGCACCACAAAATTGCACAGGCCACAGTTGGAGTGGCATCAGCAATTTTGTGGGAATTTTTTACAGATGGAAATTACCTTGACCAACACTATGTAACAGTTAGCTCTCAAACTGGTCAAAATGGGGTCTGGTTTTCAAAGGGAAAACAGGCTACATGTTAGCACAACCATCATCATAACCTTGGTGGAAGAAAGGTGCTAAACTAGTGTTTTGCACCAATGCTGGTTATCAGCCTACAAGATAATTATTAATATATATTTAGATCAATTAAACTTACCCATGGATTTCTGTCTTTTGTTACTCTTGCAGGGTGAATGCTCTCAGAAGTGCCGAAACATGTTCTTGGTAGAGTCGATTTGCGTGGCTTGGTTCACCTTGGAGTTTCTGGTGCGATTTTTCCATGCACAGAGCAAGCTGGAGTTCATTCAGGGACCACTCAACATCACTGATATAGCCGCCATCTTGCCCTACTATGTTTCCCTGTTTCTTGAGTTTAAGGACGAAACACTGCACGATATTGTTGCTGGTGCAGGGAAGAGCACTCTAGATAAACTGGGTCTAATCCTGCGCGTGATGAGGGCCCTGCGTATCATGTATGTCATGAAGCTGGCCCGTCACTCTATGGGTCTGCAGACTCTGGGGCTGACCATGCAGAGAAGCGTGACTGACTTTGGCCTGCTGCTGCTCTTCATCTGTGTCGCCGTGGCCCTCTTTTCTCCCCTTGTCCACCTTGCTGAAAGTGAGCTGGCTCCAAATGCTGCTAGAACCCCCCAGCTAAAGTTCAGCAGCATCCCAGCATCATACTGGTGGTCCATCATCTCCGTGACCACCGTGGGGTATGGAGACATGGTGCCACACAGCATTCCCGGCCAAGTGGGGGCGCTAATCGTCATCTTAGCAGGGATCCTCATCCTGTCTTTCCCTTCCACATCTATCTTCCACACCTTTAACCGCACTTACAATGAACTTAAAGAAGAGCACAAGAGGCTGTGGAAGGAAGAGAGGGGTGCTGAGCTTGCCACTGAGGCTGAAGAAAGCATGAAAGAAAGAGAAACATGGCCTGATAATTGGAATGAAACTGATTTTCTGCCTGATCTAGATGATAATTATTACCTCTTCATGAAAGACATTCAAATGCTGGATAAGAACACAAGCCATCAACCACTTATTGCTCCTGCTACATTTTGATTATATGAAAATACATTCCTGATGGGACTTGGTGTACACTCAGAAAAGCTGTAGGAGGTAGAAAATATGGATATGGACATTATTTTGTGATGATTGTGATGGCAAACTGGAAACTGCACCTAGAACAGAAACAGCTGCATTATACTGATAACAAAACTTCCGTTCTCAGGAAGCATCTGCACAGACAGATGCTAACACAAAGCTAGCCAAGAACCGAAACTAATGTTAAGGCAGTGATGAGCAGTCAGGGTTGTAGCAATGCAGCCTTTATTTTTTTCTCTTCAAGTTCCTACAGTAGTGTTCATATGTAAATGGTACAAAAAATCATGTGTCCTAAGTAGGACAGGGATTTGTGTTGGTGTGTGGGACTGTAGCTTAAGGTTTATATTATCAGTGTGTAATACATTACTTTTTGAGTAATCATCCCAACATTGTTCACCCACCTTTGTCATGTCTGCTTAAATGTAAATGTAGTGTATAATTGATGTATTATTTGAGTACTGTGAACATTTACTGTAATATACATTACCTAAACTTATATAGACTTTTGGTATGCATATTTATATGTGCTGTGAAACATGTCACGGTCTGGGGAAGTGTTATGTTAAACCTTGAATTTCTGTGAAACTTCCTATCTGTTCAGTCTGTGTTTGGGTGCGCCTTTTTGCTTCAGCCTTTCAGCCTTCTGACAGAACGATCCACAAATTCATTAGTTTCTTGGTCAAAAAGGGGATAGCCCTACATTTGATAGTGGAAGGTAGAGGCAGACAACTCCTTTAACAATAGTTACTGACAAAATGCTGATGCAACACTGTTTGTTGAAAATCAATGTGTTTTAATGCTTTAATGCTATTAACCAGAAACCACTTTTTGTCCAACAGAGGGCAGACATGTTCACTAAACAAGCCCTGAAGAAAACTACAGCATGTCACTGTGGAAAGGATTTTCTCTGCTGCAGACTGCAGTACAATAATTACATAGTAATTGTTTCAGTGATTATACCCTGAAGGGAGACATAAATCTAAGATATGCCCACATTAGTTTATAGTGGAATCTTGAAGCTGTTATCACTAAAGTCTGTGCCACGCAGGTGCATCACGTCTGGAAATGATCTGAACGCGACTGATCCGGTCTGGTGATTTGAGTGCAACAGGAAGGCAGAGTTGGGCTTCTGGGATATGCACAAAACCCTGGATTACTACAGAGGCCTGTAAAAGAATGGAAAAAAGTTAATTCTGGATGCAGAATGTTTGCCTCTGATGAGAGACAGGGATGCCAGGAGTTCACCAACAAAGAGTGGCATGAGGTTTAAGATGGAAAGAACAAGAGTGAGCCAGGGAGAAGGAGGGGAAACAGAGGCGGAGGAGGGAATGAAGGCCAGTTGGATTTAATAGCTTGGCCAACCTTGAACAAATATAACTAACTTCGCTTTTTTTTTTCTTTCAGAATAGTTTGGCCTGCTTTTACTTACAAAGTGTCAGAGCATCATTGCATTGAAACAGACAATGAATGGCTACCAAGGACTCTTGATCATTGGGAATGGTTCTGGGGCAGCTGGCTAGTCAAAGTACTTCCAGGTCAACATTCACACCAACTAAAATGCCAGTAATAAATGTCATTAAAAAGAATCACGATCAAAAAGCTTGAAGATCAAACTGCATGTCTGCAAGGTGGAAAAGCATGGCAACCTAACCTGACTGCAGAGAAGCTGCAGGAAGGTGTTGCTGACACTTGAGTAGTTGTCCACTCCAATGAGCAGCAGTTTTGCACAAACAGAAACCACATCTCATTACCAAAAGAGATCAAAAGGACCCCCTTTTTTAATCACAAAGGCCTAAAGTCTGTGGAGCAACATTTGGATGACTCAGATTGCTTTAAAATAAGCCATAATCAGCAAAGGTATGTTAGGTTTAAAATGGGGGTAAAAAACAAACAAACAATTAATAACACCTCACCAGCTGTTAAACATGGAAGTTGACCTATTGTCTTCTCAGGTTTCTCAGGTTGTGAATCAATGAGTAGCTTGGAAGCTGTCCAGATAGATATTATATAGTGAGGCAAAAATACACTAAAGCTTCTCGGCTGAGCCACTGGAACGTGAATGAAAATCCAAACTCTTTCCTTCATAAAGGTGACATTTGACGATCTCCCCTGTAACCTTAATGATGAAATCTGACACCTCAGTATATATCAGTAGAGATCACCTCCACTAATGTCTGATGCAAATACATGCTTCAAGAGGCAAAGAGTTAAAGATATAGGAACCCGTAAAACAGATAAATGCCATTATTTTATGCAAGTTATAATTTTTAAATATTTTATAACCCCAGGTTACCCGAATTTTTGTAGGCATGTACATGTGTTTCTTTGTACACTTGTCGCTTCAACATGAATCTGTTTACATAGCAATATATTGGGGGCAAAAAGAAAATCGTAAATGACGTAATCTTTGGGGGCTTAGAAGATTTATGTTTAGGTTGGGGCGACGTTTTGGTTAGGTCCTTTGGAGGGACAGAAACATGTAAGCACGTGTGTTTATATGACTACTTGCGATGTGGTACCCTCTGTTCTCTGGTTCATGGGAATCGCAAGCCTGTCATTACTTTTTTTCCTGATATAAAATCACCAGAGGAATGTCTGCACCACACTCACACACTTTGTGTCGGACATCCCACTAAAACCATTTCCACACTGCTCCCAAAAGCCTCTTGCACTAAAAACAGCTTGTCTGCTCAACTGACCCTCAACCCTCGGCTGCTTGGAAGCTGCTGACTGCTCTCAGTCACTGTAACTGTGTATTTAAAGGTAAAGCAGGGCTTGCACTACAAAAAACAAAGTTCCAGTAACAGCAACAGCAGCTGTGCTCCAAATCAGAGTGTGCTATTTAAAATAATCACAAAATAGATCTTAAGCTACAGCTCTGGGGCCTGAATTCAAGTCAAACGTAAAAAAAAGAGAACCTGAACCACTACTTATTCTAATTTTATAATACAAATGGATTAAATGAGTAGTTTAAATGTAAATGAAAGGATAAGGAAATGATCACACAGCTCTTTAGTTTGAATTAAGTTTGCAGAACTTGATAGCATCTTTCAGTTCATTCATTTTGTGTTCTGGCAAGTATATTTTGCTGTTTTTCCATCCAAAATTCTTTAATTCTTTCACCTGTTTTCAGTGAAAGCCTCTAATAAGCAAACATACAGACATAGTTAGATTCTACTAGATGGATCTAGTGGCGCATTTAGAAGTTAAAGAGTCAAATAAGACGGGGTGAAGATCAAAACTAGAGCTAAAAGTGGATTAACACTGGACCTACTCTGCATTTGCATGTGAAAACTGCTTTTTTCTCAGCTTCTGACAAGGTGTCAGGAGCAAGGTGAAGCAGTAGCCACAGCAGCATTACAGCACAAAAAAAGACATGTAGTACAGCTACGAATAGTCTGGAAAGGGAGATTATAAAGTCTTATGAAGTGAATGGAAAATAATTCTTAGCGTGCAATTTTAAATTATGCTTGATTTCTTTTCACACAAATTTCTCTCAAGAATAGAAAACAGAGTGAGACAAAAACAAGATGTGACTAAGTGACAAAGACAGATTAGGTGATGTAAACTTCTATACAAGTCACAATACTTTCTACTGTGAGCTCCAGGATGTTTTCTTTGTATACAAGGCTGACCAGTGTGCTGCTACTCTTTGTGGATTTAGCAAACCAAATTCAATCGATGTTACAAGAGCTATCGTGGCGATTCTCCAAGCCCTACAGATCTACTCTGTGACACTGACATGAACACCGCTGCTGCTCAGCACTAGTCCAATATATTACATCACTGTTAACGTTACCACAGTACTACAAACTAAACACTTTAGCAGTACACTTCCTGGTAATTTGATGTAACCTTTGAATAACACAAATTTGTAAGACATCCATTTGTTCTGCAGGTTGTTTCACTAAATGAAAAACACAACTTAAGAACAATATGATATGTAGGCCCATTGTGTGATTAAAAATCCTGAAATAAATGAGGAAATTTAATATAGCCTGTTAAATTCCTATGGAATTTTTCCCAACAGTGTTTCTATCCTATTCAATTCAATTCAATGTTATTTTTACAGTGCCATATCACAACAACAGTCGCCTCAAAGTGCTTTATATCAGCTAGACCCTACAATAATACAGTACATACAGAGAACAAACCCAACAATCATATGACCCCCTATGAGCAAACACTTTGGCGATAGTGGGAAGGAAAAACTCCCTTTTTACAGGATGAAACCTCTGGCAGAACCAGGCTCAGGGAGGGGCGGGGCCATCTGCCAGGACCAGCTGGGGAGAGAGAAGGAAGACTGGATAAAATACTCATGCATCATGGGAATCCCCCAGCAGCCTACGCCTATTGCAGCAAATGTTTGCTACCTATAAAGTTTGTATCAAATGAGCAGTCCTTGCCTTTCAAAACAGCCCACCTTTTCCCTCTCCTGTCCTGTAGTTTCCATCTCTGAGTCCAGTTCATCTACCATTCTTTTCTCTCTCTAGTTGTTCATTAGCTTGCAGACACATTATGTAACCGACTCATTATGTAAATGTTCCAGACCATTTCAGCCCCACGTGGAATAAATGAAGTCACATATTTTTGGTCTCTTTGTCTCAGATTGGCACATCATAAAATAAAATGTGTGGAGTAAAAGTAAAAAGTTGTTACCTGAAAATTCTAATAGTAATGAAGTATTTGTACTTTGTTACGTTTATGTCTACATGCTGGTGGAAGCATGGTATTGCATTAAGTGTCTGCAACCCAAACAGGTTTCCCCCATCTAAATCTAGAGCCCTTACCACTGTCAGTGTTGGGAAGGTTACTTTTAAAATGTATTCCACTACAGA